TGTGTGTGTGTGTGTGTGTGTGTGTGTGTGAGTGTGAGTGAGTGAGTGAGTGAGTGAGTGAGTGAGTGAGTGAGTGAGTGAGTGAGTGAGTGAGTGAGTGAGTGAGTGAGTGAGTGAGTGAGTGAGTGTGTGTGTGTGTGTGTGTGTGTGTGTTGTGTGTGTGTGTGTGTGTGTGCGTGTGTGCGTGTGAGTGAGTGTTGGCAGGCTCCAAAAAGAGTAAGCGCCACAAAAATCAAGGACGCGGCCGCCACGACCACGACGACGACCATCACCACCATTGCCACCACCCCTGCGTCGGATGAGAACCTGGCTGGTCACGTCGGGTCCCGTTGTGAACAGCACGCGGTTCTGCGTGAGCACTTCATCTTCTCCCACGCGCGACATTCGCGACACTGATGATGATGATGGTGGTGGTGGTGGTTTGTGTGTGTGTGTGTGTGTTGGGGGGGGGGCAAACGGAGTAGGGAGGAGGAAGCACAGAAGGCGCATACGTAGGAAGGGTAGGTGGACGGACAGACACACACACACACACACACAGACACACAGTCACACAAAACTCACGTGCCAGCCGCAAGACTGCGGAGATCACGTCGCCCCCAGGTGCAGATGCGAAGAAGTAGTTTGCAACCCTGTCACGCACAGGCTCGTGCCCCATTTCAGTTGCCAAGTAGGCCTGTTCCTCTGCATGGGTGGGGTGGCACAACAAATGTGAAGGGAAGGAATACAAGAAGACGCACAGACACACAGATGCACAGACACACAGAGACACAGACAACACAGACACACACATACGTACACACACAAACGCACAGGCAGACAGACAGACAGGCAGACAGAGAGACACAGACACAGACAACACAGACACACAGACAAACAGACACAGACAGACAGGCAGACACAGACACAGACACAGACACAGACACAGACACAGACACAGACACAGACACACACACACACACACACACACAAACGAACCTTCAGTGAGGACGGCTTCAGTGACTCCAACGAATGTGGCGGGAATCGACCGATCACACCCAATGAGGTCGTCAAGCGACTTGTCCTTGGCGTATACATCAATGTCAGCATACACACCGCCCAGCACGCTCAGCAACAGATAGCTGTGGCAAACGACATGTGCACATGAGCAGGCGCTGCAGTGGAGGATGCAAATGTGTCTCAAGAACACGTAGGCATACAGAGACACAGACACACAGACACAGACACACAGACACACACACAGAGACAGACAGACACACACACACACACACACAGACACACAGAGACACAGACACACAGACACAGACACACAGACACACACACACACACACACAGACAGACAGACAGACCGAGCAAGGTCTGATCGCTGGCCATGGTTTGGCACGGCCCGCACTCGGTTCCACATGGCCGCCGTTCCTTTGCCCAAGGCCGTGAACAACGTGGTGAGCTTCTGCCTGTCCCAGATGTGCACGTCCCAGCCTTTGTTGCCGCGCATCCACGTCTGCAATGCCGTCAGCTCCTTGTCCGATAGCGCGTTGTCGTCCCACAGGTTGTGGATGAAGTGGACGTGGCGCGGGATCGCCCCACACTTCGGCTCCGTATATGGCGCCAACAGCGCGTGCCGCATACGCCTTCGCTCGGCCCGCTCGTCCCTGCCCAGTCCAAACACAGACACCAGCGCCAACGCCACAGCAACAGCCGCCGCCACCGTCAGCACCAGCCCTCGCCCACACCGAGGCATCCTCACTCGGTCACTCCTGTTCGCTGCTGGTCACACAACACTGCTGGGTTGTTGTTGTGTGTGTTTTTGTGCCAACCACGACCACGACCAACAGCAGGCAATGGCACGGGTGCTGTCGAGCCTGCGCGACGGCGTGCTGCCACACTCCTGCTGGCAGCCATCAGAGGAGGCAGAGAGCCAGGAGGAGCACCACGGCGGCGTGGAGCGTGCTGGCGAGAGTGGGCAGGGGGATGGCGAGGAGCAAAACGCGGTGGTGGCTGATGGTGCTGATTGGCAAGGCGAGCACCCCGGCCGGCCACGACCCAGGCTTGTGTGTGTCACCCGGTCCAAGGCTGGGCTCGGCGTAAAGGTCGCCGGCGGGCAGCCCGCCGTGCTTGTGGAGGTGGACCACCTTGGCCCCGCTTACGCTGCTGGTGTTCGCGACCAGGACCAGTGTCTGGCCGTCAACGGCGTGCTGGTGCTCCACCTCAGTGCGCAGTCACTTGAGCACCTCTTTGACACCTGCGAGGATGAGTACATCAAGCTGCTCGTGTTGCAGCGCAGCCCGCCACGACCCTTCGCTCCGCTGCTCATTCCACGGTGGGACCGGCCACACATTGACGCGTTTGGGTTCGACACGCGCTTGGACGCAGACGGCGAGAGCGTACAGGCAGACGACAAGGAGGACGGTGATGCGGATGGGCAAGGCGACGACAGCACACCGCACAACACGAGCAGCAAACAAGCAGAGGACGGCACGGACAAGGTTGCAACACAAGACGGAAGTCTGCCACAAGAGGAACCAGCAGCCTCCAACATCGACAGCAGCGACGTGGCAAGGCGTACGTTCATGTGTGGGTTTGTATGTGTGTGTATGTGTGTGAGAGAGCGTGTGTATGTGTGTATGTGTTTGTATGTGCATGTGCATGTGTGTGTGTGCGTGTGCGTGTGCGTGTATGTGTGCGGTGTGTGATAATGCGTGTGATAGTGCGTGCGATCTGCACGTGGTGCGCGTGTGCGAAGCTTGCGCGGGTTTTGAGCTGTTGAGCTGTTGATCCCTCACGCCGACAGCCACCTGTTCTCCTCACTGCAGTGCGGGAGTGGGACGAGTTCTTGAAGGGTGGGCGATTGCAGGGCGCACAGGCTCCGCACTGGACATCCACGTCCCAGACACACGGCAGCGACGAGCAGTGGGTGTGTATCTGCCGCCACGCGTGCTTGCACAAGCTTGTCTTGTGTGCGCCTTGAATGAACCTGATTTGACATTTACAAAGTGGTCCACTCATTCCCAACACACACACACACACACACACACACACACACACACACACACACACACACACACACACACACACACACACACACACACACACACACACACACACACATGATAGATAGACAGACAGACACACACACACACACACCGAGACAGACAGACAGACAGACAGACACACAGACAGACACACAGACACACACACACACACACACACGTCTATGCACGTGGGGTGTTCAATCGTGGCTGACAAACCGTGGTGTGTGTGTGTGTGTGTGTGTGCCGCCATCCAACCCGTTCCCTGACGTGACTTCCCTCATCCACCTGGTAATACACCCATCTCAACACGGTTCCGCGTGACTTCATTTCAGGTTTCTGACAGCGTTTGCTGGTGTCGCATCGATGGAGCTCTCACTCCGCATCTGGGACTGCTTTCTCTACGAAAACGTTCTCAGTACGTTTGGCGCATAGCCGTGCACACGCATGTGCGTCGTGTGACAACGTGTGTGCGTGCATTTGTGATCGCTCGTTCTTTCCTCACTCCTCGCTCACTCGCCACCACCACCACCACCACCACCACCAGCGCTGTTCAAGGTTTCGCTGAGCCTGGTCACCATCTTCGCTCCAAAGCTGACTGCGCTTGCGGAGGACCTCGGCGCGTTCATGCGTCTCCTCTCGTCGCTGCCCATGCTCGGGAGTGAGCAAACCGACCACGTCATGCAGCTCAGGTGAGGACGCGGTGGTGGTGGGCGGGGGAGGGCACACGCATTCAAGGCGGTGCTGGCGGTGATGGTGTCGCTGTCATGGATCGTGCCTCGCGTCATCTACCGTCATGATTGTCATCAACACGTCACATTCCGAAGTACTCACACACACACACACACACACACACACACACACACACACACGCACATGGCAGCTACGCGTTCCAAGTGGTTGAGGCGGAGGTGCCGGCGCTGCGCCAGGAGTACCGTGCAGACCTGCAGGCCGAATACGACGCGTACAGGAAGCGCATGGACTCGTTGCACGCCAGTCGTGATTCAACAGACGAGGACACCGCCGCACTGCAGGGGTCGTCGTCATTCTGGCACCGGGTGCTCAAGCGTCGAGGTGCGTATTGTGTTGTGGTGTGTTGTGGTGTGTTGTGTTGTGTTGTGTTGTGTTGTGTTGTGTTGTGTTGTGTTGTGTTGTGTTGTGTTGTGTTGTGTTGTGTTGTGTTGTGTTGTGTTGTGTTGTGTTGTGTTGTGTTGTGTTGTGTTGTGTTGTGTTGTGTTGTGTTGTGTTGTGTTGTGTTGTGTTGTGTTGTGTTGTGTTGTGTTGTGTTGTGTTGTGTTGTGTTGTGTTGTGTTTGTGTTGTGTTGTGCTGTGCTGTGCTGTGCTGTGTTGTGTTGTGTTGTGTTTGGACTGTGGTGTGGTGTGGTGTGTTGTGTTGTGTTGTGTTGTGTTGTGTTTGGACTGTGGTGTGGTGTGGTGTGTTGTGTTGTGTTGTGTGTGTGCGTGCGTGTGCGTTGAAACAAGCGGTGACTGATTCTTTAACTTCGCCACCCACTTTACACCACCCCCCTACCCCGCTGCACCCCACAGCGTCGGCCGTGTATCTGAACGGGCTGAGCAACGAGGAGATGAGCGAGCGCATGACGGGGCTTGGCGAGGCAATACAACACGTCATGGTGGCGGCCGCCGAGCAGCAGTCGGATTCGGAGGCCGTCACCCTCCTCGTGCACAACAGGTTTGTGTGGAAGTGTTGAAGTGTTGGATGCTGGTGTTGCAACGTGGATGTATGTATGTGAACTACACGTCCAACCATTTCTGATCCATCGATGTTTCCATCTCGCTGCCTGCAAGTGGTTTGCATTTGTTTTTCCTGCTTCCTTCCCCGCCGTGCTTCCTTCTCCCTCCTACCACCCCCCTCCTCACCCCAATTTGTGTCGCTGTTCTTTGTTGCCTCAATTGCGTCGCAGCCTCTGCGTGGAGCTTGCACGCGTGCTTCGTGCGGGGCTGTGCGTGTCTGAGGCCAAACACCCCTGGATTGCTCTCCAGGCCGCAGTTGCCGCCATCCTCGACGATCACATCAAATGGCAGCAAATGTACGCGTGCATATGTGTGTATGTGTATGTTTGTGTGTATGTTTGTGTGTATATGTGTGTTTGTGTATGTGTGTGTCTACGCCTGCGTACGCTTGCTTCTGTGAATTGCTCACCGAGCAATGTGCCCCTCGTTCCCTTTCCCCTTCCCCTTCACCCTCTCTCCTCACCCCCCCCTCCCAAATCAACACCGCGACCGCCAGTGCTGACGATGTGTATTCGGAGCAGCAGTTGCGGCAGCACGCGGCCACGTTTGCCGCTGCTGTGCAGTCCATCGACCAGGCCCACAAGCGCGTCGAAAACTCAGACCTCGTGCGTGCGTGTTTGTGTATGTCTGTTTGTGTGTATGTGTGTGTGTGTGTGTTTGTGTGTGTATGTGTGTGTGTGTGTGTATGTGTATTCGGTTGTGTGTGTGTGTGTGTGTTGCCTTTTTTATTGCGCGTTCAGCCTGTGCAGCCACCCTGCCATCGAACGCACGGACCACACTCACGTCTCGCCGCTTGCCTCGGTTCTTGCTGCACTACATGTGCGCGCGCCTGTACTGTTGTGTGTGTGTGTGTGTGTGTGTGTGTGTGTGTGTGTGTGTGTCCAGAACGTGAAGCTGCGTAGTCTGATCTGTCTTGGTCTCAACGGCGGTGAATTGCACGCGTGGATCCGCATTCTCTCCCGCGCAATTCAAACGAACAGCGATCTTCGCCGCTTCTACAGCGCCACCAGCGCTCTCAGGAACCCGCACTTTGCAAAGCAGGTCTGTGCGTGCGTTGTGTGTAACTGAGTGAGTAAGCGAGCGAGTGAGTGAGTGTATGCGTGTGCGTGTTCTTGTGAAACGTGTTGAACATTGCGCGAGCTTCAAGTGTATCCTGAGCTCACCCACCACCCCCTCTCGTTCCACCGCCCTGCCCCCCCCCCTTGCTTGGGATCAGATTGAATTACATCTGCAAGCGCTGTTGCGCAACACGCACTTCCACCTGGCCGTTGACATGGAGTGGAGCGTGTCCAACCCCCCACGAAAGTCTGTGCTGTGATAACATAACACCTGCGTCGCGTTGCGATGACGTGGACATGTGATGGTGATTCACCGCTCGTCTGGCATCCGTGAGTGTGTGTGTGTGTGTGTGTATGTGTTTGTGTGTGTGTGTGTGTCAGCGTGTGTGTGTGTCAGCGTGTGAAAGTGTGTGTGTATGTGTGTGCTGTGTGTGAAAGTGTGTGTGTGTGTTGTGTGGTCTTATTCTGTCTAACCGATATCTCTATGGTGTGAATTAGGTGTAGGTGGTCGTGTTGAGCGAGAATAGACGCATAAGTATTGGGCATTGTTCGTTCTATTATCTGTCCATCACGCACAAACGTAGCCAGCATCCCCCTCTCACATCACATCACGGAAATCAGAGGGAAGCGTCACCATTAAGAGGTGTTGAGTTACACAGCATCAGCATCATCATCATCATCATCATCATCATCATCATCATCATCATCATCATCATCATCATCATCATCATCATCGTTATCAGTCTACGTGCTTTAGCACCCCCTGTCGAATGAGCTGTTCAGCGTCAGCGCGCCTCAGCAAGTGCTCTGATCCGCGCGTGAGACTGATCACTTCGCCCGTTTCCGTGTCCAACTCGCCCGCATCCTCAAGCACACGCACTTGCACATCCAACTCCTTGGGCGGTGTCAGGTTCTGTCAGCACGTCGGGGTGAGACGAGGGGGAAGGAAGGTGTTGGAGGGAGGCGAAGGTGGGTGAGCGCACAGGGTGGCGAGACAGCGAAGCAGAATTTGCGGGCAGTCAGGCAGTCGGACAGTCAGTCAAACAGACATGGTGGTTACACACGACACAGAAGCAGCAGCACAGTGGCAGAGACAGTAAGCGGGACGGACGGACCCTTGTGAGGTCAATGTCCAGGTCGTTCATGTATTTGCTGAGCAAGTTGTTGTATTGCCGCATCGTCACGCGCTGGGGGAGAAGAAGTGCAAGGGGTTGAGCGGTGTGTGCATGTGTGTGTGTGTGTGCATGTGCGTGTGTGTGTGTGTGTGTTGTGTGTGTGTGCCTGTGTTGTGTGTGCATTTGTGTGTGCGTGCGTGTGTGTGTGCGTGTGTGTGTGTGTGCGCGCGCGGGGATGAGTGAAGGTGGACGACTTTGGTTTAGTTGTAATGACTCCATCCACACATCCACCCTTGCCCGACCTCCTCTTCACACCTTCACCCGCGACCCCCCTCCCTTCTTCACATCGTCCCACCACGGCCACACGTGTGTGTGGTGGCAGTCGTATCTACACATGCGCGCTGCGCAGGCGGCGGTGAGCGCGAGTCCGCGCAATTCAAACCGCACGCGGATGCCCGGTGTTGGCGAGCTGGAGGGGCTGGGCAGGCGGCAGTGGCGCGGTGACAGAGATGATGATGATGATGATGATGATGCTGGTGATGGTGCTGGTGATGATAACGGCGGTGAAGGTGGGCAGATGGATGACGATGATGATGATGGTGGTGGTGATGGTGGTGGTGATGGTGGTGGTGATGGTGGGCGGTGGAATGCACCGCATATGAACCCGCCAAAGTCCAAGCTCCAGTTTCGATAACGATGCGTGATGTGTGTGTATGTGTGGCGGTGGTGGTCGCTGTTGAGGGGGATAGTCGACTTGACTGCAGTTTACAGAGAACACATTTCATGCGTTGGGTGCGCTCGAATACAAGACGAGGGGGCAAGCCACAATTCCTCAGTTGCATGCGTGTAACGAAACGTGACATCACCAACAGCACAGAGCAACGCAGGGGCAGACACAGTGAGACAGACAGACAGACAGACAGACAGACGGACAGACAGATAGAGAAAGTGAGACAAACAAAGAGACAGACACACACACATACACACAAAGAGACACATTGACACACACACACACACACACACACGCAACGCCTGGGTGTGTGGCTTTGCAGGGGCTGGCTAGTCGTGGACGAACGACCTGAGGAGGGCGAGGAGTTGCGCCCACTCGTCGTCGTGCTCGTGCAGCGGATACATGTGGCACGGCAGCGACGGGTGCGCACCGCTCAGCTCGAAACTGCACGCGCGGAGGTGTGTGTGTGTGTGTGTGTGAGCTGACGAGTGAAGAAAGGGAGTTGAGGTGGAAGAAGGAGGGGGGGGGGCGTGGCACAGAGAGACGTACCAATACACGCATGCATGCACGAAAGCATTCACACACAGACACACAGACACAGACACACAGACACACCAGGCACACAGACAGACACACAGAGACACACAGGCACACAAACATGCACACCTCCTGAGCGCGTCTGTGTGCTGCTGTTGAAGAACGGAGAATGCGTCCGACAAGCGGTGCGGGAGGACCTCGTCACGCGGGTGATAGATGCAGAAACTCCGCTGTTGCATCATGCAAGGGAATGCATGCAAGCACAAGCAGCACGATGGAGTACAAAGGCAGGATAGGGGTGGATGAAAGCAATACGTGACACGGAAAAGGGGCGCGAGAGAAGGAGTGGTGAATGCTGCCACAATCGCAACTGGACCACCGATGATCCACCACGACCACCACGACCACCACGATCATCATCATCATCACCCTCCTCCTCCTCCTCCTTCTCCTCCTCCTCCTTCTCCTCCTCCTCATCATCATCATCAACAACAACACGAAGGTGCATACGTTGACGTCGAAGGTGTCGACAGCATCGAGTTGCCAGCCCGCGGCCCGCATGAACAGCGGTACGAGCGGGAAGAGCAGGCGCAGATGGCGCACAGCCAGCGCTACAGGCCGAACATGTGTGAGCGTGTGTGAAAGTGTGTGAACGAGCGCAAAAGTGTGCGAACGTGGGTGAAGGGAGGCATTGATCATGATAATAATGACGGTGACGATAGTGGTGGTGGTAGTGGTGGGAGTTAGGAAGTGATGACCTGCGTACGACTACGACTGAGGCAAATGTACAGACAAGCAGAGGGATGAACAATGCGGAGTGTCACACCAATTGTGATTGTGGCGATGGTGACGCTCCATCTGGGCACATCGTCAGCAAACGCCGAGAAGCGGATGGTCGTGTGCGCAGCAAGCCCCTGACACACATGCACACATCGATGACAAGTAGTTGAATATGCCAGTGTTAGACGCGAAACAGTCGCACACGCAATGTTGAGATGGTGGTGTCATGAAACGTGATGCCATGACAAAATGCACAAAGACTGAGATAGTGCGTGCGTTTGTGCGTGCGTTTGTGTGTGTGTGTGTGTGTGTGTGTGTGTGTGTGTGTGTGTGTGTGTGTGTGTGCGTGCGTGCGTGTGTGTGCGCGTATGTGTGTGCGCGTATGTGGTTTGGTTGGCGCACCAGGATACCGGCGAAGATGGCGGACATGAGGCCGTTGACTTGCGGCAGAATCACCTGCGCAGCCCGCGACATGCTCCTGCCGACAGGGATCGGTGGAGCCGGTGGTCGTGAGAGCAGCGATGGCCACGGCTGTACACGGTTGCGTGCGCATGTCTAACATTCACAAAGACACAGATACACAGACACAGACACAGACAGACAGACAGACAGACAGACAGACAGACAGGCACACACACACACACACACACACACACACACACACACACACACACACA